CCACCACCAGAACTAAAAGTGAAGACACTCGTTCTACTTGTTTCTACCGTGGCATTATTTTCCGTTCATGAAACGCCCCGTGTTGGGGAGGTTTATACCTATCGGAGCGCAAACGCCGCTGAAACCAGTAAAGTAGATCCATAACACCCTGCTGCAATCGGTCAGTCAAATCACGCAGACATCGACTCGGTTGGTCACACGCGAATTCTTCGCAGTACAACTGGGAAACGCGTGAGTGAGGCTTTCGCCGAAAAACATCATGCACGTCTTCGAACCCACCCACAGTATCCCAGAACATACAGCCATCGCATGTACCCATTCGGTCACATGCGCGTATACGCATCGCGAAGAAATGACCGTTTCCCAAATAGGGCCAACCACGAGACTCAAAGTGCGCACATCAAGCTCCAAAGATAAATCAAGAGGGCCTCCGCGCTCATACTTCTCACAGAAGTGCACCTTGACTCATCTCAATTCGACTGCAACTCCGGCTGTCAGCCCAGCTCGCCTGCGTGAAATTCGGTCTATCTGATTAAAAATTAAGGTGAATATTTCCTTTCAGGTTTCATTCAATGTAGCAACCTATCTCTGTTGCGACTCGGCTAATAACTGTGTTATCACCACCATCAAGTGCCGCCTTGGATGTAAAAAGACGTTGCCAATGGTGTGGTGACTGAAAGAACATTAAAGAAAGCACTGAACATGTTTTCTGTGGCCGGGGGGGAGGGGGGGGCGCACGGAGCACAATTCAGACGAAAGCGGAACTGATCCCCGAAAACACCTTTTCATAATCGGAAATTGCACATACTCGTGATTTGTCCAGCGCTTAAGGATACACTTTTTAAGAACAAGTATTACGACAGTTCGACCATCTTTAAGGTAAGGTGATACCATACTAACAGCACAGGTACTAGCAAAAGCCCATACACGCGTGTTTTGCCGATGTTTTGCCTTTGCATGGCGCAACCGCGAGGGGTTCGGCTCGTCAGTGGGTTCCCCAGCTAGTACAGATCACGAGTATTTGCCTGTCGGCAGTTAATGTATATTACACGGCTACCCACTGTCGCTGATGGACTTTGGCCCAAATATTAATGTATAAAATTTTCGGTCTGAGCCTATAGACCTTGAATAAACTGATCTACTCCAATTTTGTAGATAATTTCTGAGGAAATGAAAAAGCAACAAGTTCGACCATTGTCACCGAAGATGTCCACGGGATGCCCCACAGCAAGGCGGGCGCGGCAACAGTGACTCACGTGTAAAATACTTTATAGCAATAGTGGACTTGCGCGCTCTCTTTCTCTCTTCTCTCACCCTTCCGGGCCCGGAGGGTCAAGACAGAGTCCAAAAGACCCGAGGCGGGATCGGGTGCAGGTGGCCGGTGCGACGCGAGCCTGCGCCTAAATGTGCCACCACACTCCCCCCATTAAAGAAGGAGACACAATCGCCGGGACAAGAGCTTTATTAGCCTGACGTTTCGGATTCCTACTCGAATCCATCATCAGAGACAAAAGAGCAGAAACGGGTGGTTGTTGCACAAGGGGCTGCGGTATTTATAGGATGCAGCAGCCAT